GTCATATGTAGGAGCTGTATAAGAACCACGGCTCCAAATGTCGGACAGTGATCCGCATCCAGCAATACTTTAAAGGCAGTTGGCACGATAAATCCCCAAAAACGAGTAGGGTCAATACGCCTGGCAGGACAGAATTCCGCGACCCTAAGCAGGCGCTGCGTAACGCCTTTTCCAGGGAAGGTGCCCTTATAAGGGCCCTATCAAACTACAACATGCCGACCCCACCACGCCCGCCCGCCCACAAATGGACGACCGTACCTGATGCTCGTATTGCTTCATTTGCTAAGTAAATATGAAGCGAAGGGATTGGTATGAAGCGGCTGCGGTGCTGCATGGATATATGAGTACATACATGCAGCCGTACCTACCGTAGCGGTTATTGGCAGGGTGCCTACGGGAAACTCGTCCGAAATTGCTTTCAAGAACGAAGGCTTTTCTTTACAGTTTTCGAGCGCTTTACTTCGTTTTTTCGCAGTACAAGTGAGATGTAAAAGACTGTCTGCACGTAGTTTGAGGAAGCTGAAGCCTGGGAACTACGTACTATGGAGGCTGCTACCGCGACCGATCACTGCACACAGCAGCTGTGAGATCTGAAGCCGATCAAATGGAAGGATAGCATTCACGGTCCTATTCGCTGCGGATAAGGGGACATGTCGAGGGGTGGGTTTGGCGCAGCGCCAACTCTTTTCATTTTTCTTTCTTTCTTTCTTTCTTTCGACAAGACTGCACACTCTATATCCCACGATGAGAGCGATTGTAGTTGCGGGATCTTTATCGCTCATGACAGGTCGAAGATTTGTGCTTCTTACAGTATTACTCGACATCGTTATGCTTCAGTTCCATCAGATTGAGTGCCATTAGCTTCAAAAGCAGACACCTTTATGTACACCCAAATATGAAGTCATCTCCAGTCGCAGTCCTGACTGGAGAAGACCTTTGGAATTCATGTCACCTCCAAACAGTTGCGAAACTTCTAGTATGGACTCACCCATGGATAGTTCTGGACTGCTCCTCAGAAAAGGTCAGCAGAAGACAACGGCTGCGAAATTCGTCCGACGAAGATTCTTTCCAGCCTCATTAACGGTCTGCATCTGTGCCATCGGAAGGACGTCTCCTGTCTTCATCGAGCGCATCGTAAAGATGGTTGCTAACTTCCGACAATGCGTTCTTCGCGATGTACTGAAGCCACTGGTGTCGTAGCACTTCGGCCCGGATGGACATGTGCTTCAGCAAGACTGGGAGCCAGCACATCCTGCCAAACCCACGAACTGCCGCTTGTGAAGAGCTGCTTCCCGATTTTGGGGCAAGGACGTTTGGCCTCCCAACTCGCTTGGTCCGAAACCCCATGGATTACTCCATCTGGGGCAAAAAATCTCAGGAATCCGATGCGCGACGGTGTACCACCTAAAAGTAGCGTTTGCTGCATGTTTGGGACGAAATCACAGTGAAAGAATGCGCGACCATTGTCGGACACTTTGAAAAACGACCTGCGTAAATTTGTTGAGGCTGAAGAAGGCATTTTTGAAAACTTTTTGGAACATGTTCACGGTCATAGTTACTAATTAGATGGAGGCTCCCAGGCATTTAGTTAGCTGATTTTCCTTTCAAACGGTTTTATGCTACCGAAGTATTTCGAAAAATTGCCAGAATTTTTTGGCCACCCTGTAAATACAAAAATTCTATTTAGTTACCACCGATACTATTCTAGTTATAGCTGGTGAAAGAAGCGCAATGACTGACGCGACAATGTTGGAAGAATGATTACTGGTTTAAAAAAATTGAGGGAATGGAAAGAAAATTGAAAAAAATGATTACTGATCATGCCTTGCCCTCAACCTAGGAAAAGTCTTAGTGTTAGATCTCTTCTGGACGATGAACGAGCTGAGAAATGGCAATTAAACGCACTTTAGAGACCAGTAGGAAAAAAATATTTTCTGTATATTGTTATCACAAAGCTAGTTTCTTGGGAAAACAACGTGTTATCAGAGTGTTACGGCCGTTGACCCACTTGTAAGACAACATTCTTACTCAAAATTTTCTACCTTTTCCATCATACCTATACGAGTAAACAATGAGCCCTCTCGTATAGTTGAATCCTGTGAGGATGTGTCAGAAAAAAGGGATAAATAAATGCCGGTTCAGGCAAAAAACTATATTGGCCACAAAAGCAGTCGCGCGGGTGGGTTCAATCTGCGCCTCCTGAAGTGGGCCCCACCAGATTATGACCATACCGCATCAACTGTAATCCCGCCCCTTATTGCGCAACAATATAAAAATATACAGTAATTCTTTGTGTTTCGTTGACCTAGTAGTACGATGTGTTGCGTATAATTCATGATTTCTTACTTTAGACCGATCTCAAGGGTTCTCTGATATCCTAACGTGGAACTCTCAGGTACTCTTGGGTGTTATTCAGCAGTATCTCAGCAAACGATTTATGTGGTAGCAACAAGGGCCTCTGAGTACCAGGAGGTCAGAAGAAGTTGGTAAATATCTTCTTCAAACTCGTTAATCAGATCATGTTTGCTGTGCCAATGCTTTTATTCCGAAAACGAAACGAAATTCAATGAAAGTTTATTTTTGCCTTTGTATGGTGCACAATTTTTGTCGTACAACAATAAATTCGGTCGATTCGAGCATCGTTCCCTCCTGCTAGCGCATTCCGGTATGGAAATAAATGTGCATCCAACCAATCACAGTTCTGCTTCCTAACCCCTAAATGCCTCACTCTATTGGCTAAGCGATTGTGATACCACTGGAATGGGCAGGTGAGGAGCATTATTTCCTAATCGCGGCGTTGCTGTACTAATTATCAAATTAAGTCAACACAGTGCCGCTGCCATTTTTAGGGGGTTAGGTTCTGATGCGGATGCTGCGTAACTCAGCTTGCGACGCCTACTCCAAACTCCACACCTGGAATATGCAGCCACAGCGCGAGCTCTGCACTCGAATATCAGATGATGTAACTACCTATGAACGAAACAATTTTTTTATAACACAGAGACTGAGGTGAATGTCGAAAGGAGGACAATTTTCAGCCTGCTACATATGAATTACTCGCTTGTCCAGACCTGACGTTCACATTGGTAGTGATGCTGAGGTCCTGCTGGCTTGATGATCCGGCTGCTGAAATGTTTTCACTTCTATTCATTCGTTCAATTATAAAGTTGGATATTTTTGATTTGGTATGAATATGGTTAAATAAAGTTGAGGTCATCGCTATCAGCCGAGGCGGTGTTAGGCAGCGTTCAGGTTTCGCGACGGCAGGCCTCGGTCGCGCGCATTCGGCCGCGATCGATGGGATGCTTTCGACTGCATCAATCGAACGCGCAACCGAAGCGCGCTGCCGTCGCGAAGTCTGAACGCTGCCTTAGGAGGGCTAATGCCGTTTCTCCAGCAATTTCGGCACCGAGCTCATTTTTAAATTGCCCAAGTCACCAAACCCGCTGAAAACATGTACACAAGGGTTATTTGACATCGTGATTACAATTATGACAATCACTTGACGTAGGCGCCAATGAAAGACACTACGATTACCTCCTCGGCTCAGCCTTCGCAGATAATCGAAGTGACATCCATTAGCGCCAGCGGCAAGAGTGAATGTCATATTCGTAATCGCGTTGTTGAACTAACCTCCTATACAGGCTTTTAGCGGATTGGTGACTTAGGCACTTAAAAATGAGCTCGGTGTGTCGAAAATTGCTGGAGTCCAGACGCATGAAGCCCTCTAGCTCGTCTCCGGCTAGTGATCGAAAGAGAAAACAGTTTGCAGTGAAATCGCAGTTGGGGCGCTTATGTCATATCTTTTTGACATAGTCACCGATGATTGCGACGATATCAGCTGTAAAGTTATGACTGTTTTGGCTGGAAAATCAAACCAACAATGAAAGAAACTTATTTCTGAAAAGATATTGGGTTTTAGTGTGACCCTCTACGGTATATTTGCAATTTCTGCCAGCAGACCAGTCCATTTTTGTGAAGCTCTACAGGCTCTTCTACTAAAGCTTGCCTTTCAACAACCGTCGTTTGTAATGACATCGAAGCGTCCCGAAAAAGTTAAGTAGGCTAGAAAACGAGTGAAGTAGTGAAGAAACATTTCTGGGCAAGTGAGGGATTCTTCGGTGTGAGTCAACATTTCGTGTCACTGCTTGTCATCACATCGAAAGACCATCTTGCAGCATCCTCCCGCACCTACTTTGTACCCCATACGCTCTCTTCCATTAGGAAGGCGTAAGATTGTTACCTGATGTTTCCCTCTTCGATGTTTGATGTATGTATAGTAGTTTTAGCCCAATATAAACAAATACTTTGTAGACCTGAAGAAGGGCTACGTTTCGAAACTTAAGTGCAATAGAGGAGCTGCATTATATTGCCCAAAATAGAAGGACCTAGGAGTCAATGCGAGCCTCAGGAACCTCGTACAGGCCACATCGTTGTTGGGGAATCCCACAGAGCGTGGGTCGTATTTAGGGCTGCAGAAAATTTGTTTTTGATATTTCATCTGGTCAGTCGATTTTTTCGCTTCACGGACGTTGTAAAAGGGTTGTACTAGCTCGTTGTTGGGAGGGGTGGGGTCGTCACTTTCTGGCGCCTTGGAGGAAGTGGTTGACCTGATTTTCCTGTTCATGTGCTACATACCCCCCCCCACTCGCGCTCGACGGCTCTATTCGATGAGGAGGGACAGTGGCTGGGCCGGAGGGGGGGGGGGGTGCATGGACTCAACTAAAATCCCCAACCAATGATGTGCCCTGCTCTGGTATTGCATGTTTTCAGCTAGTGGCAAAGGTTGAACCTTGTTGGACTTTGAAAAGGGAAATCGCAAAGAAAAGCAGACCACACTGAATCATTGAAGAGGGCGGAAATTGAGCTAAAATAATCTAGTTGACAGAAGAACAGCCGGAAGATCTGCTGTGACATGGACCTCTTCTTGAGCCTCGGAAATGCAAAATTTTTTCCAATCAAAACAAGACGTCACATTACAGGGGGAGATCTAATGAGGATTAGTCGAACTGTAGAATGAAAATTTCTCCGAATTCTAAAAGCTCAATCAATGTTGCCTGACGGCGATCATAGGGAAGGAGAGAAACACACGGTGATATTATCATTTTCGGGAACTGCGATTCTGAAAAAAAATGCATGGAAATGCTTGCGTTTCCGTGCATTAATTCTTTTGCAGTGAAATTTTGTACTGCTGTGCGAACACACATCGGTTCTTCGGATGCTTAACGAAACTATCCACGAAGTCAAGTTTCCGAATGATTCACACTTGGCTTGACTGTTTTGCAACGCCACGAAACACTTACCTGCAACTGGAGGAGGCGGAGGAGGAGGCATTCCACCCATTCCACAGCCCGTTGGACCCGCTGGACCGATTGGACCCATAGGACCCGGACCCATTGGACCCGGACCCATTGGACCCATAGGACCGAAACCACCACCGAATCTTCTCCCTCCGAAGAATCCTCGTCTCCCCATAGCACCGAAATATCCTCGACCGAATCCTCCGGCTGGGTAGAAACCGCCTCCTCCTTGATTGAAGTTGCATGCACATCCAGGTCCGTAGCACCGCTTCGCACGATTAGGCCTGAAATGAAAACGCTCGTACGGGCATGGAAGGCATACAGAGTAGTCGAACAAGTACTGCTAGAGCAGAAGGTTAATCGTTTGCTCACAGCCATAACTGAAGATTTCACACATGGTCAG